TGTTAAAACACAAGCAGCGCGAAAATGACGGCGCGTAAATACAGGCATTATATAGCGGGTAAATTTGATAGGTATAAATGCCCCGTTTTTTGATCTGGTTTTATCTAAACCATTTTTACACCAGGGGACTGTTAATTACACAATTTTAGTAAAAGTCAGTGACTGAGAGACTTGAATATTTTATTGAAAATCTGTACATTTGAAAAACAGCCAGGGGTAAAACTTACCCCGTGGCGGTTCTAGTGTTAAACAAATGAAAAACGGCTTTCCTGACGCTCTGGCGCGCTGAAACTTGCTCAAACGCATTTTCAGCGCCTAAAGAACACAAATGTCTAAGTTCATAGAAAGTCGCTGAAAAAATGAAATCCTGGGCCATATTTGATGAAAAAGCTCTTTCAGCACATGATTTTATTGAACAGATTTGCATGTATGTGTTTTAATGAAAACGGCTTTCCTGACACTCTGGCGCTCTGAAACTTGCTGAAACGCATTTTCTCCTCCTAATGCACACATATGCTTAAGCAGCTAGGCAAGTGGTTGAGAAAATAATATGCTATACCATAGTTGATAAAACATGACTTTCTACTGAAGATTTGTTAGTATTCAGTGTTTTTATCTTCTTAATATCAAGGCATGAATTTTAATAAAACAATCATTTGTCATGTTCTTTTCCATCATAACAATGTGAAAAAACTTTACTGAAATTATTAAACAAATGAAAAACGGCTTTCCTGACGCTCTGGCGCTTTGAAACTTGCTGAAACGCATTTTCAGCGCCTAAAGAACACAAATGTCTAAGTTCATAGAAATTCGCTGATAAAATGAAATGCTGGTCCATATTTGATGAAAAAATACTTTCAGCATATGATTTGTCACGATTTAGTCTCTTTATCACTATTTTATCAAAATATGAATTTTAGTAAACAGTAATTTTTCATCCCATTTTCCATCATGACAGTATGAAAACCCTCTATTGAAAGTACACGTCGACGAAGGTGTCTGCAAAGAAGAAGTGCTTTCCTGCCCCTCTGGCGCCTTGAAACTTGCTAAAATGCATTTTCTCAGCCTAATACACTCATGAGTAAGCACATAGGCAAGTCGATAATAAATAATATTGCTTTAGCCATTTTTGATGAAAAACGACTTTCTACAAATGATTTGTTGGAATTGCGGTTTTTTTTATCATCATAATGTCAAAATATGAATTTTAATATAAACAATCATGCTTCAATCATGCGTTTTAGCTAGTTTTAAAGCGCCAGAGCGTCAGGAAAGCCGTTCTTCGTTGCAGACATGTAATAATTATGTTTTCTATGTACTTACTATGTATGTACTTTTTATGTACTTCTGTGTACTGTGCATTGGGCTCTGAAAATGCGTTTAACCAAGTTTCAAAGCATCAGAGCGTCAGCATTTTTTTCATTAAAAAACATACTTGCACATCTGTTTAATAATTTCAAGGTTTATCACGTTGTTATGATGGAAAAGGACAGGAAGCATGATTTTTTATTTAAAAATTCATATTTTGATATTATGATGATTTAAAAAAAACTCAATCCTAACATATCATGTGTAGAAAGTGACGTTTCATCAACAATGGTACAGCATATTCTTTTCTAACCTTCCTAAGTGCTTACTCATGTGTGTGTGTATTAGGCGGAGAAAATGCGTTTTAGACGTTTTATGGCGCCAGAGGTGTCAAACTTTTCTCACATTGATATTATTGAAAATGAGATGAAAAAAATGGTTATTTGGAATTCATAATTTAATAAAATAGTGATAAAAAGATTAAATAGTGACAAATTATATGCTGAAAGTCCTTTTTCATCAAATATGGGACAGTATATTATTTTCTCAACGAAAATGCGTTTTAGCGAGTATCAAAGCGCCAGAACGTCAGGAAAGCCGTATTTTCATTAAAACACATACATGCACATCCGTTTAATAATTTCAATAAAAGTTTTTCACAACATAAAGTTAGTTATAAACAATACGTTTCATATCGTTTTCCATCATAACGATGTGAAAGACCTCTACTGAATATAAGACAAGAATGTGCAGGGATGTGTTTGCATTCATATTTCTTGAAGCTCTGGCGCACTGAAACTTGTTAAAAACAAATTTTCAGAACGGCTTTGCTGGTGCTCTGGCTAAAACGCATTTTCTCCGCCTAATGCACAAACTTGAGTAAGCACTAAGGCAATAGTTTACACAACAGTATGCTGTACCATAGTTGATGAAAAATTACTTTCTACACATGATTTGTTAGGATTGAGTTTTTTGTTTTTTTTTAACATCATAATATCAGAATATGTATTTAATACAAACAATCATGCTTCATGTCCATCATAACAATGTTTAAAACCTCTACTGAATATATGACACGTACGTCCACGTAAATGTTTGCATGAAGAATGGCTTTCCTGCCCTTCTGGAGCATCGAAACTTGCTAAAAACGCATTTACTTAAACTATTGCACTCAATTTTTTAAGCACATCGGCATTCTTTGACTAAACAATATGCGTTACCATAGTTGATGAAAAATGACTTTCTACAAACGATTTGTCACGATTTAGACTTTTTATTATAATGTTAATAAAAAAAGTTGGATTACTGTAATACCTTATTGTCTGGATGTTCCAGTACATGCATAAACAAGCTATAGTAAGTCCAGAATGCAGTATGTGCCTCTGTTCCTGAGCATACTTTTAGCGGTTTATGATTCATCATGCCTACTTCAATCAAAAGGTGCAGGCTATTTTTTGTTACCTTGAATAGTGAAGGCTGCAGCAGGGGGGGTAGAACGTTCTCTTACAAAGCCCCACAATTATGGAAGAGCCTTTCAATTAGTGTTCAGGACACAGATTCAGTCTCAGTGTTTAAGTCTAGGGTGAAAACGTATTTGTTCAGTCAAGCCTTTTGTGAATAGTTTTTTCTTCAGTTAAGTAGCAGACCTGGCAGAGTGTTGTGGTGAACTGGGATGTTAGGATTCTCTCATGCCTCCCACTCTCACGCGTTCACTCAGGTTTGTTGACTGTGTAGTGTCTGGCTGCTTTATGACCTAGGGCAACTTCATGTCTGTGTTACCTTCTGGCTCCCCCTTTAATTATGCTGTCATAGCTAGTCTTGCCAGAGTCCCTGCTTGCACTCTGCACGCAAAGTACATTGTCCTTAAAGCGCATATTCTCTGTCTCAAATAGCTAACACACCTCTCTCTACCTCTCTCTCGCTCTATCCATCTCTCTCTCTCTCTTTGTCAAGCTACACATGCTACTTCTGGGATAACATTGATCCTGACCCCTTCTGCTCTCCGGACCTGCCTGATCTATCCTGATGCCCTACTTCTCTTTAGAGTTCTCATCGGTTGGAGATTGCTGCTGCTGGGGGTGGCCCCACATAGACGGCCTGAAGATCATTGGCATTGCTGCGGATGGTGCTGCTTGGGAACCGTGGAGACAGCTTTGGACTGCAGTTCACATGGGCAGTTGTACTATGATGGCTTGGGACTGTGATTGCTGTGGTGGCTTTGGGGCTGTTGTTGCTGGGAACAGTTTTGCACTTAGGTCTCCATCAGTGGACAGTGGATAGGTTCAATAAAACAGACCTCATAGGCACATCTACTTCGATCAAAAGATGCAGAGTATTTGTTGACAATAGTGAACGCTACAGCATGGGGTAGAGCTTTCTCTTTTTTTCTGGTTAGGCCACAGCCCTTTCACCGCTGCCACCAGCTAGGGAACCAACCCCATCCACCGGGGTTCCGTGCTACAGTGCGCTGTCTGTGCCAGTCCCAAGCCCAGATAAAATTGCGGAGGGTTGGGTCATGAACAGCATCCAGCTTAAAAACTGTGCCAAATCAAATACACAGATCCTCTGTGGTGACTCCTAACAGGAGCAGCTGAAAGAAGAAGAACCACAACTCAGTCTCAGTGTTTAAGTCTCAGCTGAAATCGTATTTGTTTCATCAAGCCTTTTGTGAATACTTTTTCTTTGGTAAAGGAGCAGACCTGTGTTGTGAGTGTTGTGGTTAACTGGGATGTTTGAATGCACCTCTCTCACGCTTTCTTACAGGTTTGTTGAGGCTGGAGTGTCTGGCTGCTTTATGACCCAGGT